AAACTCGTTCTGTACACAGATACATGTATTTTAGCAATAAATTTTATCTATCTATCTATCTATCCATCTAAAATTATTCTAAACTTTATTGAATCTGATATAAGACTTTGCTAACTTTGTAATGCGAAGTATGTGTAGCTTGAAATATTCTTCAAAAGTTTACCAAAGTTTTAAAAATAGTTTCTATTAGTTAAAAGGGATTTGAGTGAAACCCATTCAAGGAGTGTCATGATTTATAATTTATACTTTAGCTAAATCTGAGTAACAATCAGGAAGAAATCGTCTTTTTTGAACTTGAAAGAATTTCCTTGATTGTCTCTGTAGGAAAAATCAAATATATTTCTTGTATCCTTGAAAAGATAAAGGTTTAATGAGTACCTTTATGAATAAGAGTCGAGTACCTATGTGAATCTGAGCCGAGTACCTTTGTGAATCGGATTCGAATACTTTTGTGAATCGGAGTGGAGTACTCTTATGAATCGGAGTCGAGCACCTTTGTGAATCTGAGTCGAGTACCTTTGTAAATCAGAGTCAAGTACCTTTCAGAATCGGAGTGGAGTACCTTTGTGAATATGAGTGGAGTAACTTTGTGAGTCAGAGTCAAGTACCTTTGTGAATCGGAGTGGAGTACCTTTGTGAATCAGAGTCAAGTACCTTTCAGAATCGGAGTGGAGTACCTTTGTGAATATGAGTTGAGTACCTTTGTGAATCGGAGCGGAGTACCTTTGAGAATCGGAGTGGTGTACCTTAATGAATTGGAGTGGAGTATTTTTGTGAATCGGAGTCGAGTACCTTTCAGAATCGGAGTGGAGTACCTTTGTGAATCGGAGTGGAGTACCTTTGTGAATCGGAGTCGAGTACCTTTGTGAATTGGAGTTGAGTACCTTTGTGAACCGGAGTGGACTCATTGTGAATCGGAGTCGAATACCTTTTTGAATCGGAGTCAAGTACCTTTGTGAATGGGAGTCAAGTACCTTTGTGAATGGGAGTCGAGTACCTTTGTGAATCGGAGCAGAGTACCTTTGTGAATGGGAGTTGAGTACCTTTGTGAATTGGAGTCAAGTACCTTTTTAGAATCGGAGTCAAGTACCTTTGGGAATGGAAGTCGAGTACCTTTGTGAATCGGAGCAAAGTACCTTTGTGAATGGGAGTTGAGTACCTTTGTGAATTGGATTCAAGTACCTTTTTAGAATCGGAGTCAAGTACCTTTGGGAATGGGAGTCGATTCCTTTGTGAATCGGAGTCAAGTACCTTTGTGAATCGGAGCAGAGTACCTTTGTGAATTGGAGTTGAGTACCTTTGTGAACAGGAGTGGACCCTTTGTGAATCAGAGTCGAGTACCTTTGTGAATCGGAGTCAAGTACCTTTGTGAATCGGATTCGAGTACCTTTGTGAATCGGAGTCGAGTACCTTTGTGAATCAGAGTTGAGTACCTTTGTGAATCAGAGTCGAGTACCTTTGTGAATTCTATAAATGGGGGGTCACTTGAAACTACGCTCGCACAATTCCTGTATGAGAAGTTCAAGCCCTTTCAACAGATTTTAAACTTATGGAAAAATATTCTCTTCCCAGAAAATATCAAAAGTAATTTTAACTTCTCCCAAAATCTATTTCTCTTGGATATTTCTGAAAACGTTTATAAAATTCTTCTAGAGGAACTTAGTGCTTGCAACAAACTCAAAATTTTAATCCTTTTATATTTGCAATTCCTTTGGTATTTCAACCTTTGCTCTAACATATTTTTTCATAGTCTAAAATATCAAAGTTGTACGACATCGAGTTGAAAAGATGTGGTGAGTCAAAAGCCAATTCCATGTAATTTTGTAATTTTAGAATACATGGAGTAAATTATCAAAAATATTTGTCCATGCAAGATGTGTCAGTTAAATTTCAAAAATATCAAATTTGACAAAGCTGATATTGATCAACATTTAGACTGTATTCTTGTTCCCTTGACATTCAAAGTGTCAGAGGGTGACAAAAATATGTTAAACAGTGAGTTTATTGGGGGACAAAATTATTTTCACAGTGAGTTCAAGGGGGACAAAATTATGTTGAACAGTGAGTTTATTGAGGGACTAAAGCATTTTAAACAGTGAGTTCATGAGTTGACAAAATGTTTTAGTGAGTTCATGGGGGTACAAAAATATGTTTAACAGTGAGTTCATAGGGAGATAAAAATATTTTAAACATTACGAGTGGATAATAATATCTAAATTAATAAATTCAGATAAGGACAAATATGCTTTGAACAGTAAAGTATTTTGAGAGAGTTGGGGACCTGTGTGGAGTAAAGATATTGATAATTTCAAACAGGTGGGGGGGAGGGGGTATACAAAAGTATTTTGAAACAGTGACAGAAACAAAAAAATTATAATGAACAGTCATTGTTTGTAAAGAGGGAAATATCTAATTAAATAAATAATTCCAGCTTTGAAATTTTAGTAACAAAAATTTAATTACAGCAGCAAAATAAAAAAAACTAAATTTCTAAAGTATTTTTTTAAAGATAAAATATTTATTATCCTTATATTTTTATGATGCTGGTAAAATAAGGTTCTAGATTTAAAGGCTAAAAATGACCCCATTTTACTATTTTGCATCTAACAATTTCAATTTATTTCTTCGTCTTCTGATGTTTTTATCCTTTAAGACTTATATGTTTTTAAATTTGTTGACTGTTAAATAAAATATATTTAACGAGGAAGTTAAGATACTCGTGAAATTTGAAACAAGGGAAGGTAGAAAAAAATGTTCATATCACAGACTAGATATATACACAGAATACTCAGTGCTCATATCACAGACTAGATATATACACAGAATGCTCAGTGCTCATATCACAGACTAGATATATACACAGAATGCGCAGTGCTCATATCACAGACTAGATATATACTGAGAATGATCAGTGCTCATATCACAGACTAGATATATGCACAGAATGCGCAGTGCTCATAATAAACTAATCAGGCCTATAAGAGTCCATGCAAGACATGCTACATTTCTTCAAAAGGTGTTTGACTGTCATCTAACGGCCATTTGTTGCATATAAAACCCATTCAGGGGTTAAGCTTTACAATTTGTATAGAAATACTCTAACTTTAACATAAAAATTAAATGTTTGAATTTAGTCTATTTTTGAAGGTTTTGTATTTCGTATCCAAAAGATCCTTAAGTATCGCTTAATACAGACGTCTGCTTATTGGTTGTGTATTCCAGTTGTACACAATGGAACCAGCTGAGGAAAATATCGCATATTCTAGCCCTTAAGATATCTCTGTACTCGATCATATCAACTGGATTTATAAACATTTTTATAATTACAGTTTTGCTGCTCACTATAATGGTGAATGGTCACTTTAAGTAAGCATACAGTTTAAATTCTATTAAAGCATTATATATACACTGTTCTAAAATAGAAACAGAGTAGACAAAGGACATTTAATTCTTCATTTTCAAATGCAACAAATTTTGAGAACATCTCATGAATTCTAGGTAAAGTGAATTTATCCATAGAAACCTTGAAAAGTGAATTATTATTTTTTCTTTTATTTGCAAACATGTCTTAGCCATGTGCAAAAAATGCCCTTTTCATGCAAATGTTTTGCCAACCTGACTGATTCACGTAGTCAAGCAATGATTTCTAAATTTGAATTATTTTTTGAAAAATTAAATATTTGAATTTTTAGAATTGATTTGTTAACTACATATGAGACAAACTTAAACATTTGGTATCGGCACTACAGTAAGAACCACAAATATTAGAGTAGGAAGACGACATTAAATCATTCTGAAGTGTATTTGATGTTGATTAAAAGAAAATAGTTTTACTTGCGACTAAATAAATTACCATTTAAGTGAAATGGGTCTGTTTACACTGCATAACTGCTGCGTCTCATGGTCATCGGACCGTCATAGCTTGAGCATGAAAGTCGTCTTTCTAATCCAGAGTTTTCTGGTTATCACTGTACCTAACAGTCATTTGGAATTTAAGGAACTATTGACGAAATACAAAATGAGGAAAACAAAAGAAATAGTAAACTACTGGATCAAACCTGTCAAAATTAAAAATAACAAATAAATAACATTTTTACCACAAACTCACATTTTCTAATTCCTAAATCATTGCAACCAGATGGTGTAAACCTTTGTCATTTCAAACTTAAGAGTATTTCATCTAACAGAATTAATTCATAGTTTGAAATTTCTAAGATCTCTGCACTGGGTTGCAAAAATATAGGGATTAGGAAATTAGAGTTTGTGACAATGACTCAAATTCTATTCTGTAAAGATATAAAAGGACCGATAACTCAATTCTTATAGCTTGCAGTTAAAATTCAAATGGCAATGTTGTGATTATGGCATTCTACAAATTAAGGGTTACCTGACATTACGGATCCAGTACTTTAATCAATATTAATGATGATGTATTTAGTTGTCATATAAGTAATAGATTAAACATTATATATTGATATATATATATATATATATATCTGTGTAAGTATACACTATTTATATATACATAAATATATGATGAGCCCACATCTGGTTTTTATTGTTTGAATATTATATATATAAATATATGTCTCTTGATTAAACAGAATTTTCACAGTTTTACTATGTATTTCATACATCCTGTTTCTTGATTTTACATATTTTAATCAACATATATATATATATATATATATATGTGTATACTTTATTTGTATGGAAGTTTATTAATATTGATTGTAAAATAGATACACGTTTTAAACGGTTGCATTTAAATCAAGTATACTGGAAACATGTGACCCCCCCCCCTTCTTTTCTCTTAAATCCAAAATAAAGAAAAAATAATAGAATAAATAAAAAAATAGCGAAATGTAAAGTAGTGTTTGAAAGGAGATACATAATAATCAGAGGACAAAATGGATAGATTGAAACACGGATAGATAGATAGGAGGAGATGGATGGAGGCTAGTGGCAGCCTCTCCTGGCCTCTGTCTCCTCTAGTCCTAGTTGTGTGCAGTGTAGAGACAACACACTTTTTTCAGCCCAGCAAGGACAGACATTGTTGTAAGCGACACTATCCGGTCATCTTGTCTAACCTGCGGCCCTAGTTAGTGAAGCACAGTGCAGCTAGCAACTAGTATGCGGGTCAATACTAGAGTTTCACCTTAATCAGAGTGAAATTAACATGGGATAATCAAGAGAGACCAGAGAGTAGTAAGGGCTACAGTACCAGAACCTCCCATGGAGTTAAGAAGAGAGTGAGAGTTAGTGAAATTAAATTGTCAATATGGCATCGGTGGCTGCATGGTTGCCTTTTGCCAGGGCGGCCGCTATCGGCTGGGTGCCCATTGCTTCGAATCCCTTGCCCCCACCCCCGATAACAAAAGGGGCGAGGAAGACAGATGATGAAAAGTTAATTATTAACGTAAGTGGGAGAAGGTTTGAAACCTGGCAAAACACATTAGAAAAGTATCCAGATACATTGCTGGGATCAAATGAAAAAGACTTCTTTTTCGACGAGGAATCAAAAGAATACTTTTTCGACCGTGATCCAGAAGTTTTTAGACATATACTAAACTATTATAGAACAGGTAAACTTCATTATCCAAAGCAAGAGTGTCTCACCCAATATGATGAAGAGCTTGCCTTTTTTGGTATAATGCCAGATGTCATCGGAGATTGTTGTTATGAGGACTATCGTGATAGAAAGAGGGAAAACGCAGAAAGAATTATGGACGACAAGGCCGATGATGAAGAACAAAATGATGGTATTATCCTCGAAACCCTTCGAGAGCGGATGTGGCGTGCATTTGAAAATCCACACACTTCAACCCCTGCCCTTGTATTCTACTATGTGACTGGGTTCTTCATAGCAGTTAGCGTGATGGCAAATGTAGTTGAAACAGTTCCTTGCGGAGAAATCCCTGGTCGGAACGAAGTGTTAGCCTGTGGTGATAAATATAAGATATCTTTCTTCTGTTTGGATACAGCTTGTGTTATGATTTTCACTGCTGAATACTTCCTAAGACTATTTGCGGCTCCAGACCGCTGGAAGTTTATGCGGAGCGTAATGAGTGTTATAGATTTTGTGGCGATCATGCCCTACTATATCGGACTAACCATGAAAGATGACAATGAAGTCAGCGGGGCATTTGTAACCCTGAGAGTGTTTAGGGTTTTCCGCATTTTCAAATTTTCACGACATTCCCAAGGATTACGTATTTTGGGATACACCCTGCAGTCATGTGCTAGTGAACTGGGGTTCTTAGTGTTCTCACTTGCCATGGCCATCATTATTTTCGCAACGATAATGTTCTATTGCGAGAAAAATGTAGAAAATTCCACCTTCACATCCATTCCATCCTCCTTCTGGTATACCATTGTAACTATGACAACACTAGGGTAAGTCATTTTTTGGTTCAAAATAATGTTAAAGGGACGTCTGTCATGTTCCATGTCAATTTCACAACGGTGCCCTTTAAAATCTTTTTAAGAGGAAAATATGGACATTGCATATTATAGTCAGTCAACCAATAAGGTCGAAGCATATTAAATTATGCATTTATATAAAATTTGTTCTTAAAAAATATCAAATGTTAGATATATTGCTTTTTATATTTCAAACTGTATATGTTTGTTCTTACAAACAAAGGCTATGATTTGTTTAATGAGAGAATGAAAAGAAAGGTGGTGATATAAACATGATTGCCAGACCAATAAATCTTGGCTCAGTACAGTATAAATTGTCTCTCGACCTAAAAATAGATATTTCTCACATAATAAATCTCTAGTTCACAGGGAACATGCTATCATAGTCTTTTTACCAGAAACAATACATTTTGGAAGAACCCAATTTTGTTCAGAGTTTAAGATATAAAAATTAAAATTAAGGATCTAAAACTTTTCTCTAAATATTCTTTAAAATTTGTAGTAATTTCAGATGTCATTGGACATTTAGAAAACTGTTTTTTTAAAGTGCTGTGTATAATATATATATTACAAAAAAATATGTTTCATTTTGAACAAAGCTTAAAAAAAACTTGATTGATTAATGGGTTTTCTCATTTTTTCTAATCTGTTCATTAAGGTTCAGCTCTTAATATAACCCTTCGTTAAATTTTAGTATTTCTCCAAATCCTTTAATTCAATATCCGTTTTTTAACATTTAGTACTTTTCATAATTCGTTTATTAAAGTTAAGGTTTAGTACTTTTCATAATCTGTTCGTTAAAGTTAAGTATTTTTTCCAATCCATTCGTTAAGGTTTAGTACTTTTATAATCCATTTGTTAAAGTTTAGTACTTTTTATAATCTTTTCTTTAACGTTTAGAACTTTTCATAATCTGTTCGTTAAAGTTAAGTACTTTTTCCAATCCATTCGTTAAGGTTTAGTACTTTTTATAAACTCTGCTTTAACGTTTACTACTTTTCATAATCTGTACTTTTTCCAATCCATTCGTTAAGGTTCAGTACTTTTATAATCCATTTGTTAGAGTTTAGTACTTTTCATAATCCGTTCGTTAAAGTTTAGTACTTTTCATTATCCGTTCATTAAAGTTTAGTAATTTTCATTATCCGTTCTTAAACAGTTAGTAGAAGGTGTTTCAAATCCTTTTGGTAACATTTAGTACTGATCTAATCCGTTAAATAAAGTTTAGTAAATTTACTAATACGTTCGTAAAAGTTTAGTTAATGGTTAGGAGGATGAATGTAATGAACAAGCCTTTTGAGTGACTACATGGTTTATCAATGTCAAATTAACGTATATTTTGCTAGCTAAAGCATCCGCCTTTCTTGTATTTGTCAGAAGAATTTAAGGGTTGGCACACTTACAATTTCGTTAAAAAAAATTCTAATTTGAAGATATTTGAAGCCACTGCTGTAGTACTCCCTATAGCTTTTATTCACAATAAAAATGCAACAATCAATTAATTTTACAATCCAGCCATTCGGCATTATAGATTATTTTACTGACTCTATCACTCTATCTATCTATCTATTTATCTACAGGGTTACCCACAAAGGATGAGACTATGTAAAGACGACCCAAAACTCTACAAATATGACGATTTGAAGGTTGATTTTTGGTTTTTGCATTTAGGTGTATATTCTAATGGTTTAATAAAAGATAAAGCCCAGAAATAAGTAAGCTTAGGCCTACAAGGGACCCTGAATGCAAGGAAATGGACTCTAAAGCTAATCCTTCCCGGGTTATAAATCTAATAACCATCTATCTATATACCTAGCTATCTATCATTCTTTCTATCTATATCTCTATCTAAAGATTGATATATTTCTATCTATCTATCTATCTATCTATCTATCTATCCTCTATTGCATGCTTGTTTATCTTTGTAACTGTGTATTTGTGTAGAGTCTAAGTTTGACGACAAAATATTTAATTTTGACGGGAAGAATATCTGATGATATTTTAAATCATATGTTTTGCTTTTGAGCATTCAGTTTAAAGGGAATGTGACAAGGGCTTCCAGCGAACGAAAACTTTCGCAAAAAAAACGAAAACTTTCGTTTGTATTTTGCATACATTTAGATTTATTTTAGCTAAAATGAATAAAGCTAAAAAATGCAAAAACGATGATAAATTTCGAACATACATACTTTACGCAAAGTATTTTTGCGAAAAAAATTCCGCGAAAACCATGTTGTAGCTGCAACAAATGCGTGAACAAACTTGTAGAATTCTGTGCTTTGAGAGCTCAGCTTTAGAAGCTTTGTTATATCATATTATTAATGATTTTTCTTCATTTACTATGATAAATGTTTTATAAAAAAATCGCAAAAAATCCGTATTTTTTCGCTAAACGATTTCCCCTTTTTGTGGCGTACTTTCAATTAACGTTTCTTGGCACGTTAGATTCACAAAAGTACCCTTTAAACCTTCATCTGATCAATTATGACAGATCTATTATTTTTATGATTCTATAGTTAAAAATTTAGAGTGCACAGATTAATTCCAGTTTTTCAACTTGAAAAAATTAAGTTCTTTCTGATAGGATGAAAGTTTTAAGGGTGCGACTGTGAATCTAACATACCTTTAATTTTTAAAATTCCCACATTCTCACCAATAAAAATAAGATACCCCGAGGCCGAATTCAATGTTTCAAGATTTAAGCCGGCGCTCAATTGAAACCGGTTTTTGGCGGATTTAAGACGTGGCTCAAATTCATTAAATTCGGACACCGAAATCTTAAAAATATATTTTTACGATTAAATTTGGGCGAATTTCGAAAAAATCTGTGAAGGGGCTACAGAGAGTGTAATTTCTAGTGATCCATCAGGAAAATCTATAGCTAGCAATAGCCTATCCACAACAGTACACTTAAAACCATTATTCCTTTAATCATGTGGAACAGATACTGTCGCTTTTCTAGTTTTCAATGTTCTAAATCTGATAATTTCTTTGTGTTTTCCTGCAATGGAATTGCGCAAGTCACTTTTTTAAAAAAACGCAATTAAAAATAATCAATTTGCTAAATTATAAACATTGCTAGCTAATTCCTACTTGATCAGGCAAAGCGTTTATGAGTACTAAAATGTACTAAGAAGGGTGATTTGAAATTATACGTTAGACAGAATTTTTTTAATTCGCCCAAATGCATCTTAAAAATACATTTTAAACCTTATTATTGACCATTAAGATATACAAGCATACGACAACGGCACTCCTACTTTAAATGTATTGTATTTTATTAACCCAATCGTCATGATTAGGCTAATTTTGTCCAATAATAATGATTTTTTCCTAAGAGTTAAGGGGAGTGTGACACATGTACCTAGTCCATCTTTTTAAGTCCTACTCATAAAAATGAATTGACCTCTATAGGGAGGAAAAATGTACTTTTGACAAATATTAACATGCGACATATGTCATTGTATTCATTTGTCAAGGGCGTTTTTAAATATATATATTTTAGCCCTGTAGATTAATTCATAAAAAAAGTTATCAACAATTTCTGATTTGACTGCCCTATGCATCAAAAAAGACGTCGAAAAAGTACAAATTTTTAGAGGTTTAATTGTTTAGCATTTAACCCTTGTTATCTTTTTGTGATAATTTTTGAATAACTGAAATTTTTCAAGATTAAAACTCTCATTCCGAGCATTTCAGTGTATTTAGATGTATAGAGGATTTTTTTTCTCGAATTTATAAAAATCCAAAAAAATATAAACATATTAAATAATTCAAATGGATAAATAAATATCTAATAGAAAATTTAAAACGATGATAATTGAATTAAAAGTTTTAATTGATAATGTTATTTAGTTAGAACTTATCATAGGCATATTTCTTAGATGATGATTAGGAACATTCCGAAGCACTTTTATTTATTTATCCAAGCTCCAGTTTTTTAAACACACGTTTTAAAAGTATACTCTGAGTTTTAAACAGATCAGTGGCCGAATTTAAAGAATTTGAGCGGCGGTTTAAATTTAAGACACGATTTAAATATGGTTGGTTCCCCTTAAAATTGTATCAAATGTTTCAACATTTAAGCCGTCACTTAATTTAAACCGGGTTTTGGCGGATTTAAACCGCGGCTCAAATTCTTTAAATTCCATCTCAGGTCTAATCAGGGGGGATGATAGTTCTCTACCTGTGTGCTCAGTTAGCTGAACTGTACACTTACAACTATTTACTAATATTGATATACTATAGGTTAGGCCAGAATCATCTTATAATAAACAAATATGCAGTACGCTCTCGGTATAGTTGATGGCCTATAAAATTAGTAAAGGATTAGCGTACATCATCACTCTATACACTATAACATCGTTGGCTCTAATCTATACTATATAAAATGAACAAAATTCTAGATAGCGGAGAAAAAAAAATCCAAAATTTCTTTGGAATTAGAAAAAAATATAAAGAATTGATTAATTGACTTAAAATATAGCTTTATAACCATTAATATTTGATGATTTTCTAAACTTAAATTAGAAAATTTAAATTTTCGATTTCCGACGGTACTTTGAACATTTTCTCTGAGCAAAAATATAAGAAATCTTTTTTTTTTTATAAAAATTGACCATAACTATCCATTAATGTGTTTTTCTAGTTTACATCGCATAGAACGGGGAAGAAATCGAGAATTCTGCAAAATTTCACGATATCTCTTTTATCCCTTCACTATAGTTTCAATAGAAGAAAATATTTCCAATTAACGGATAGCGCCAATGGAAGGATTCATATCTCTAACTGGATAATGAGATAGATTAAACGATAGATGTTAACGCCATACTATTTCTATTGGTTCAGAATAGACAACAAACACATTACTGAACCCTGATTGGATCAGAAGCTAATGGACTCAGCATATAGGAGTGACTTCCTCGTAAAAGGTTTAAAGGGTACCGACCATTGTGAATCGATAACTTCCACTCCAGATTTTAAATTACGTCATCAGTTCCTTCAAACATTTCTCTTGATCAATGATTTTATTCTATTTAAGGATCATTGTCTAAATTTCTATTGATTTTGAATTATCAAAGAAAGTTCTTTAAAATTTTGTGGCATGCAATAATTGATTTTTTTATAATTCGTGCAAGTTTTCTTTCCATATTCGATTGAGCATATTCTTAGTTTAAGATAAGGGGGGCTTGTTGGTTGTTAGACACAACAATAAATTTAAGAGTGTTGCCTGGCTTTGATCTTGCCTTTAAACCTTCTGTCCAAGGACCTAAGTAAAATCTTCTCTCTCTATAAAATGTCTTACGTTTTAATGTTCTTCTATGAAATGTCCTTTCTCTGAAATAGCATATCTATGAAATGTCCTATCTATAAAAAATGTCCTATTTTTGAAATGTCCTATTTATGAAATGTCCTTTATCTGCAATGTCTTTATCTATGATATGTCCTATCTGTGGAATGTTCAGAACCTTCGGAGGCATTTTTTGCACATTATTTGCTAACACATTTGCACAACTAAGAGACTTTCAGCAAATTACATTTAGTTTGAACAAAAAGTAAAATCAATTTTTTGTGTTGAGAACCAACCAGAGATATTTTATTTGTTAACAAAGAAAAGATTTAATATTTATTCTTTTTGAGATTTTAGAATTAAAAGTTACCATGATAAAGTTATTCCATTTCATTTCCTATTTTGATATTCGGTTTCTCTGAAAATTGACTTTGGGATAAAAACAGCAACAAAGAGAAAGGCAAATTTGACAGAATTTCTCTAATTTAGAAAACGACGATATTTTCCTCATCGTTACTTAGATAAAGAGTTAAAGCGTCTCATTGCGAATTGGGCCAAATTGCGATCTTGCCAGGCGACATTTATTGCATAAAACGTGCTGGGTCGACTATACTCATGTAGCCTGGACTGGACAGTGTGGCTGAATGCATATACAAGAACACCCCCCCTTGTCTTTAGTCCACAGTATCCCTCAGTCATGCAAACTGAAAGATTTTGGGTTGTTTAAAATATTTGAAATCTAGAATTAAAAGTTTAGAATTTAGAACTTATTTCTCGCCAAAAGCTATACTTTTATAATTCACATAAAGGGTGTCGTACGAAACATGACACTTGGTGAATAGTTAAATGTCTTCTTCCATAAGTTGTTAAGTTGTTTTTAGAGAAGATATTTAAGTAAATGGTTTTTTAATTAAAGCATCTAGATCCATTTTTGGGGGTGAGAAACATATGTACTCCTGCCTTGGAGTAGTCTCAAATCCTTCAACATCAAACTTGATCCGTTCCACGGCTTGTAAGAGATCTCTGTTTTTGTTTATTCATAATTCTAGAGAATCTCCAATAGATGATTGTCTCCATGTCTCCATTTTAAAAATATAAAAAGTTGGTTTTATCCATAATGGAAGGCTTTCCTCTTTTAGATTCTCCAGCTTTGATAAGTGCTACCATATTTTTAAAAATACAACTGAATTTACAAAATTTTCAAATCAGTTTAGTCTGTTTTCCTGTTTCAGAGTTTGTTTCAAGAAAATATGGTTTAGGCGTAAAATACAATCAAATGTTTTATTGGTAAACTGTTACATAGGCAAACTGTTATATAGGAAAACTGTTACATAGGCAAACTGTTACATAGGCAAACTGATATATAGGCAAAATGTTATATAGGCAAACTATTACATAAGCAAACTGTTATATAGGCAAACTGTTATTAAGGCAAACTGTTATTAAGGCAAACTGTTATATAGGCAAACTGTTATATAGGCAAAATGTTGTAAAGGCAAACTGTTATTTAGGCAAACTTTTATATAGGCAAACTGTTATTTAGGCAAACTGTTATATAGGCAAAATGTTATAGAGGCAAAACGTTATATAGGCAAACTGTTATATAAGCAAAATGTTATATATGCAAATTATTATATAGGAAAAATGTTATATAGGCAAAATGTTATATAGGCAAACTGTTACTTAGGCAAACTGTTACTTAGGCAAACTGTTATATAGGCAAAATGTTATATAGGCAAAATGTTATATAGGCAAAATGTTATATAGGCAAACTGGTATATAGGCAAAATGTTGTACAGGCAAACTGTTATTTAGGCAAACTTTTATATAGGCAAACTGTTATTTAGGCAAACTGTTGTATATAGGCAAAATGCTATAGAGGCAAAACGTTATACAGGCAAACTGTTATATAGGCAAAATGTTATATATGCAAACTATTATATAGGCAAAACGTTATATAGGCAAAATGTTATATAGGCAAACTGTTACTTAGGCAAACTGTTATATAGGCAAAATGTTATATAGGCAAAATGTTATACAGGCAAACTGTTATTTAGGCAAAATGTTATGCAGGAAAACTGTCATATAGGAAAAATGTTATGCAGGCAAACTGTAATACAGGCAAACTGTTATAAAGGCAAACTGTTATACAGGCAAACTATTATAAAGGCAAAATGTTATACAGGCAAACTGTTATTTAGGAAAAATGTTAGGCAGGCAAACTGTTATATAGGAAAAATGTTATGCAGGCAAACTGTAATACAGGCAAACTGTTATAGAGACAAAATGTTATACAGGCAAATGTAATACAGGCAAACTGTTATATATATGAAAAATGTTATGCAGGCAAACTGTTATACAGGTAAGCTGTTATATATAGGCAAAATGTTATACAGGCTAATGTGAACTAGGCGAATGAGTCTAAACGACATGAGTACTAGGCGAAAGTGTAGTGGGCAAAATGTTACTGATCCTAGAAAGGATTAGAAAAAGTCTTCACCCTGTACCTTTCGAACCTTTGACTAATTTGTTAAAATATGAAATGTTGTAAAGATATAAGGATTGCAGAAAAAGAAAATATAAGGCGAGTACTTAGTTTTTGTCAAATGGCAATATCATGATTTCTTTAATCCATGATGGAATTTTTGGATATTTTGAAGTCAATTTTGTTCATAGATTTTAGAAGATTTAAAGTTTTTGATATTTTGATCAAATATATTTTTCAAATTAAACTTCCTGCAAAGGAAACATACGTTTGTCAAATACAGAAAAATGGAGAAATAGGAAATCATAAAAATTCATAATTATTCTACTGCCCCCCCCCCCCCCCACCACCCAACCCACCCCTTCTTTAATTATTTATTTTTTCAAGTTAATTCAAAGAAAAGTTCAGTCTTCTTGTTTGTTGAAAATTAACCTTGTTGAAAACTTTTAACTTTTAAAAGAAAAGTTTTAATGCAATCCCATTTAGCTACAATCAAACTTAATTGCAATCCGAGCTAATTGCAGTCCAACTAAATTGCAATCGATCTTTCATACATTAAACTTAATTGCAATCAAACTTAGTTGCAACCAAAGTTAGTTGCAATCAAACTATAATTGCAATTTAACTTTACAGCAATTAAACATAGCTGCAATTAAATTTCATAGCAAGCACATTTTGCTGCATCGAAACTCGCTTAAAATTAAACTCATTTGCAATACAATCAAAGTTGCAATCAAGTTCTTTTGCAATTAAACTTAGTAGTAACAAAACTTAATTGCACTCAAACTTAGTTACACATTTTATTTTGAAATCAGTGCTAGTACAATCAAACTTATTTGCAATTAAACTTAGTAATAGCAAAACTTAATTGTAACCAAACATAGTTTCAATTTCTATTTCAAAGTCAGCCTTAGTCCAATTAAACTCGATACCATTCAAAATTATTATCAATTAAACTTAATTGTAATCAAACTTAGTTGCAATTAAACGTTATTATAATCAAACTTAGTTGCCATTAAACTTATTTGAAATAAATCTTAGTTCAATCAAACAATCAAATCAAACTAAGAAACTTTCAAACTTAGTTGCAGATAAAATTCAGTTGGAATAAACTTATAAGTCACCAAACCTCCAAACTTAGCTAGAATATAATCTTGTTTCAAAGTCAGTTTCAACCAAGCTAAGTTACGTTCAAACTTAAACTAGTTTCAATAAATCATTAAAAAGTCAACTCAGTGGCAGTAAAATTTGCCATACAACTTGGATGCCATCAAAGAAAAGTAGAAATCAATCTTGATCCTAATGATCAATTCCCCCTCCCCCTTTTAAAAATAGGGCCAATAGACTAAAGAGATCAGCTAAATATCAAATTTGACGACATGATTTCTAAAATTGGTGGCAGTTGATACATTTCAATCATCAGATTATATTACTCTTATTTATGTAAGTTGGCTCCAATCAAGATAAAAATTCTTTAATTGCTGAAAACGAAATTCTCATGTTATAAATACTTTTGTTTCAGGTATGGGGATATGGTCCCGAACACTATGATGGGTAAACTGATAGGTTCAGTTTGTTCTCTTTCTGGAGTTCTTGTAATTGCTCTTCCGGTTCCTGTCATCGTTTCAAACTTCTCCAGGTTATACATCATATTGTTTACAGTTTTCTCCAGGTTATACATCATATTGTTTACAGTTTTCAAGGTTATACATCATATTGTTTACAGTTTTCAAGGTTATACATCATATTGTTTACAGTTCTCAAGGTTAAACATCATATTGTTTACAGTTTTCAAGGGACTAAAAATGTAATATTTACTCTCTTTTACTTTCCCAAAAAAAGGTCTGGGTGGGGGAAGGCCCGAAGGGTCCCATGGACCCCCCCCCTTTATTCCCTTATTGTGATACAAATCTTTAATATTTAATGCACTTTTGGAACGCCCTTGAAAAGCTCTACTTTAATAAACTGCAAAAAAAATTTGCAAATTTGCAAAATTTCAAATATTTATTGAATAAAAAAGTTATATTAAGCAAAAAATGTGCAAAAACAAAAAATGCACGAAATGTGATGAATTAAAAATTTTTGAAAATCATGACACAGCGAATTTAAATATTTGATTTAATTTTTCAAAAACTAAATGTGCATATTCAGGGAAAACTAAAAAGTTCACTTTCTCTTTAAGGGCATCTGTGCAAAAATCTATGCAAAATTTCTTATTTAAAATTGTGCAATCTGCTTTCTTTTGGTTAAGGCTTTTCAAAGAACTATAAAATGTCGAAATCCAATGATCTAAAGTAGGTCTGAATATAGATTTAGTCTGGTAAAGGTAAAATAAGGCATTCATGCAGTATGCATGAGACATTAAGCAGTAGGTACAAAAACCCCGGTTTTAGCCTAACGTCAGGGGTATGTGTTACTTAGAAAAGTAGAAAAATGTCAACAGCCCAGGACCAGACTTTTTGAGTTATCTCCAAAAAACGTCAGCTGGATTAGGGTTAAGAGGGTAATGCCCCCTATTCCCTGTACCCTTAGCATCGTTGTCTGATACAGTATAAATTAGATTTTTTTAACCCTATTCCGACTGGTGATGATTTTTGGAGATAACTAAAAAAATTATGGTTCTGAGGCTGTTAAAAAGTTTTAACTTTTCTAAGTAACACTCACTTGATTGACCTCACTTTAGGTCATTTTGCCCCCCCCCCTCGGCAGCCAGTCAGTAAATCATACGTCAGGCTAAATAGGGTTAAAGCTATTTTCCATTTTTCAGATTTTAAGGGTTACCTTTTATACAAACGTCTTAAATGTTTTTGATATTTGTAACTATGACAGTGTTGTAGAACAATCTTAGAGCTATTTATACATGGTGTCTCAAAAAACTGTGCAGTAGGGGTATTAGTAACTGAGGAAACAATTTTCGTTCAATTTTTACGATCAAGGTGTCATTCGAAAGCTCTATATTTAAGTTATTTCACGATGTAAAATTTTTCCTTCTAGACCTCATGCTTTTTTTGTTACAACTAATTATTTGAAAGTAAGTCGAAAATCGATTTCAAGGATTTTTCGATTTTTCGATTTTTTACGTCTCATTTTCATTTGTTCATAAAGTATGGAAAAATTTGAAGATTTTCGAGATTTTTTTTAAATCATAAGTTGTTAGTCTTAGATTTCATTTTTGATTAAAAGTTTGGATCAACGATTATTACTTTTGGAGGTATCTAAAAATAAAATATGCATTAAAAAAAAAAACGAAAAGAGAGCTACGGGTACCTCCGTAGTCCGTACGAACCTTGCCCAGACCACAAAAATAATTTTTTTTAAATTTTCTTTTTGAAATCAGTTGGTACAATCCACAGCTCGCTATTTCAATCAAATATTTTTATCTAACCCACTAGGGCACAAAAATAAAACATGTATAAGTCATAAAATTATTTAATTTTTGATTAAATTAAACAAAGCAATTTTCCTTCTGTATTTGTATTGAGGTTGCATTACAGTTTACATTTGAACATATTTTTTACTAATTTTGAAATATTGTCATGATTAACATGTAAACCGTTATTTTCACTTAAATAGACACTTTATTAGTTAGAAGTGCATTAAAATAGTTTAACCCTTTTTCTTTATATTCTTTGCTTTTATATTCATATTTTACATAAAAAAGTATATATATTTTTGTTTTCCAAAAATAAACAATATTATTTGAAAAATTAAAATCAAAAAAAGTCAAAAATAGTTTTAAAAAGAAATAAAAAGTAATTTTTACAAATCAATGATGAAAAACGTAGAATGTACATTTCAGCTTTCTTCACTTTTTCAGCTTCCTAAAATTGTTAAAAAAAGGTGCATAAAAAACCAGGATAGGGTTAAAGATTATTAAGCAACTGTTTTTAAAGGAAAATGCAATCTATTGCGGTTCATTCAGATAGATATTTTCATACTGAGAATTTATGCAACAAAGATCAAAAGAAATGTTTCAACCAATTTTGAAACTGAAAAGTTGTAAGTAATATAACCAGTAACCACTAGAATAAGAAGATGATTTTAATGCTTAAGCTGTGGCTTTAAGTAGTTAAATGAACTTGAGACACAGCAATTATGAGTTAGTGTATTCAGTTAACAGTTCAACTTTTTGCTTTGTAACAACTTTAAATACACTTTAATGTCGTATTCCTATTCCTACTTTGTGTTCCGGTTCTCAATGTATACATTGACGCTTTTGTTATTGAGGATGTTATTCTTGTCATGTTATCGTGCTTTTGTTATTGAGGATGTTATTCTTGTCATGTTATCGTGCTTTTGTTATTGAGGATGTTATTCTTGTCATGTTTTCGTGCTTTTGTTGACTGACAATACATCTTTTATTATTATTTGAAAAATCTGCAATTTTTTGGTTTTCCAGGATTTACCATCAAAACCAGAGAGCAGACAAGAGAAAAGCACAGAAGGTAAAAATTTGAAACTTTGAACCTTTGAAAATGTGTGAACTGTTTTTTCAAAACCTAGTTATTAGTGAGACAGAGGCTTACATTTTTCTTCTTTCCAGGGAGAAAAACCCCCTAGAAATCATAGTTTTTACCGACCCAGAGGTAGGGGTGGGGGCTGAGCCATCATAGCCCCCCCCCCCCCTCCCTATGTAAGCCTCTGTTTGCACGTACTTTTATTTTATTTGGCTTAACTAGGCCAACGAAGTTCGTAAAATTTAATTAAAATTCCAAGTTGTGCAAACTTTAATTTTTTGTCTTTTATTTATAATTGTACATAAGTTGAATTGAGAGGGAGGGGGGGGGGGGGTCTGTAAAAAGGGACTTTCTCCATTAATATAAATAAATTTCAACTTTTTCAGAAAGCACGACTGGCCCGAATACAAATTGCAAAAGCGACAAGTGGCGCGGCATTTGTTGCTAAAAAACGCGCAGCGGAAGCTAGACTTGCCGCGCAAGAAGCTGGGATATATGTGGAAGACGACGGAAACGAAAATATATTTGAATTGCAGCATCATCACCTTCTAAGATGTCTCGAGAAAACAACGGTAAGGGTAATGTTAGCAATTTTGAATACTTTTTTCATCTTCATGTTATGTTAATCCTATTTCAAAATTTCTATTCCTATTGATACATTCATTTTGAGCTGACAAAAAATGACACCAACTCACAACGATTGGTTTGCTTCATTTTGGCCTTTATACATCTTTTGTCAAATTGTAATTTTGCCAATTGTAATAATAAACTAATGGAGCATACAACTTTAAAATATAAAAAAAAACATCTCAGAAGATTCGTGTGAGCCAAGAGACTTTAAAAAACGTAAAAATAAAACAAAAACAATGTCTCCCTAAGGCAGAAATGTTGACAAACTTTATAATATATTAACACTAATTATTGATAATTTTCGCAAACAGTCCCATATATTTGTAGCCGCTGTCTCAGAAATTGCATAATCAATATACCAGGCCCATGTTGTCTAAACTTTAGAACTTTGGAAGTTTGTTCGGCTCTTAGTTTATTGGTTGGGTTAAATATACATTAATCAAAACAATGTTAACCCTATCCCTGCTGGGGTTCTTGAAAGCCAGGATACGCTGGGGGAGGGGGGGGGGGGGTCCTATAAACCCAGATATGATATCAAAATATAACAATGATACATCATTGGAAAGCTCCTATGCTATAATTTGAGAACTGAAAAAAATGAGCAAATTTTCAAAAATTAAAATTTTTTGTTGCAAAATCCAGTTATATGTTTATTTAAAATTCTTGCAAAAAAAATTCCGAAAACTAATAAAATATACATTTTTGGTGCCCTTGAACATGCCATTTAAAATTTGCAAAATATTTACAAATTTTAAATAATCTGATGTGTAATTAAAAAAAAATAAAAATGTCCAATTTCTTTTTACGGGTTGTATGCAAATAATTTGCTAGATTTTTTTGGCAAAACTTGTGCAATCCGTTTCCTTATGTCATAGGCTTTCCCCACAAAGTTAAAAATTATTAAAATATGACAACTGAAACAAAGATTTAGTTTGTTACAACAAAAAAGTATTTATCCAGGCCACTGAAATGATTTCAACTAAGTAAATTGCAACCAAGATAGATTGCAATTGAATAGATGGTAACCAAGTTTGATTGCAACTGAGTAGATTGCAATTAAGTTTAATTGAAACTAAATAGATTGCAATCAAGTTTGATTGCAACCAAGTTTTATTTCAACCAATTTTGATTGCAACTGAGTAGATTGCAATCAAGTTTAATTGCAACTGAATAGATTGCTACCAAGTTTTATTTCAACTGAGTAGATTGCAACCAAATTTGATTGCAACTGAGAAGATTGCAATCAAGCTTGATTGCAACTAAATTTTTTACATTCATTTTTATTTTTTATTTTAGTTTTTAACAATATGTTCAAATTAAATAGATGATGGTCAAAGCAATAAAACAGGGTGCTCACTCCTCTGTACACACTCTGTCACAGTTCTTGTTGTACTTGATTTTCCTAGACTACACTCTTGTTTTTTCAATGTTTTTTCCTCTGCTTCAATTTTCCATCATGTTCTTGGATAAATTTTGATAGAGAAGTTTTTTGGATGTTCTGGGATTTTGTTGTATTGACACTCTACAAGGGTTTCCATTCGCAAAACTTTTGCGCAATTTTTGCGGAACAAAACGCAAATTTTTCTTTCTTTGCGCACCAGTTTTGCGCGAAAAAACAACAATTTGCGCAATCATTCGCAAAAGTAATTTCACGCAAAATTGCCCAATTCTGATTTTGCGAAACTCAAGTTTTGCGCAATTCCGCAACCTGAGTTTTATGCAATTCTGCAATTTCGTAAAAATCAAACGGTTGGTGACGGTGTGTGTTTCTTAGAATTCAATTCTGGAAAAATCTTGTTTTGGAATGTCTTCCTATTGGTCACTTTTACATAATTGACCAATGACAGTTAAGAAGAGTTCAAATCTCACGGGCGCGCACCTTATTCACCTGAAATTATTTAATAGGATTAAAATATTGCCAAGTTTCACACTCTCTAATTTCTATTTTATTAATTTTGGTCCCTTAATTTAAACTTTTTGTAACTGGAAGTAACCTATTGAGTGTAGTATTAACACTTATCATACTCGTATGTTAATATTTTTTTTAATGTATGGAATAAATCTTTAGTTGTTTAATTCTAAGCTTAGAATATCAATTTTTGACAATTTGCCTAAAAAGTTACATTTTGCGTAAAAGTTTTGTGAAAACCATGAGTTTTATAGCTGCAACAACTAATTGCTCAAAAGAACTTGTGGAATTCTCTGCTCTGATAGCTCAATATTTGAAGTTTTATTATGTCATATAAATAATTTGTCTTCCTTTACTTTAATAAATGTTTAATGAAGAGAATTTGATTTCACTATCTATCTTTTTAAGTTTCTGTCTGTCCGTCCACAATACATACGTTCAATTTTGGCATTATTTTTTTTCGCGAAATTTTTGCATTATTTTTATTGCTAAATTTTTGCATTTTTTTACGTAAAATTTTCGCATTTTTTTGCATTTTCTATTTTACAAAAATTTCGCATTTATTCGTGAAACAGATTGAAGCGAAACTTAGAAAAAAAGCAAAAATTTTTGCATTTTTTGCGAGCGAATGAAATGCGAAAATTAAGCGAAATGGTTGTAAAAAATTTTCGCGAAATTTTCGCTATACGATTTTTCCTTTTCGCTGGAAACCCTATGCCTGCTCCTGGCTCTGATTCACGAAGAAGGCACTTGGGAGGCCCTCTCCATGAGAGAGTAGAATACAACTGGATTGCAACTTTATAGATTGCAAGTTTGATTGCAACCAAGTTTTATTTCAACTGAGCAGATTGCAACCAAGTCTTATTTCAACTGAGAGGATTGCAACCAAGTTTGATTGCAACCGAGAAGGGTGCAACCAAGCTTGATTGCAACCGAGAAGGGTGCCACCAAGCTTATATTAAAACTAAGAAGAGTGCAACCAAGGTTAATTGCAAAGGAGTAGATTTCAACCAAGGTTGATTGCAAAGGAGTAGATTTCAACCAAGGTTAATTGCAATGGAGTAGATTTCAACCATGGTTAAATTGCAAAGGAGTAGATTTCAATCAAGGTTGATTGCAATTTCAAGTTTGATTGCAAATGAAAGGTTCAACAAATATTGAAATCTATATTTATTAAGTTGACAGATTTTCCTCAAATTTTGATTGAGAACTCGAGTGAACCGCAAACATGTTAAAAGTAACTTTGAGTACCCCGGGAAACGCTGTATTCTCAAGCTTGTATACATATACTTTATTATATATTTTAGGATCGAGAGTTTGTGGACATGGATTTACCCTTTAATGGTATTGGTGGAGCTAAGAAACCCCGGTCAGGGTCCCGACCCTCCAGCCCTGACAACAGTGAAGAGGTTCCTACCTGCTTTGCTTGCTGCAGTAAGAAGGAGGAGAATGGTAAAAATGTGGTGAGTATCAAACATTACTCAGTAATTTATCCAGGGGGGGGGGGCTTTATTTTTTCTTTCCGTTGGGGAGGGGCTCAGCATCCATTGGGTCTGAAAATCCCCGTTCTAGGGGGTAGGCTCAGCCTCTATGGTGCCCCATATTCCTTATATTTTTGTTATCTTTTAACAGTTTAACCAGCAGTTTTTTCATTTACCCCCTATTTTTGTTATCTTTCAACAGTTTGACCAGCAGTTTTTTCATTTACCCCCTATTTTTGTTATCTTTCAACAGTTTGACCAGCAGTTTTTTCATTTACCCCCTATTTGTGTTATCTTTCAACAGTTTGACCAGCAGTTTTATTATTTCACCCTATTTTTGTTATCTTTTAACAGTTTGACCAGCAGTTTTATCATTTCACCCTATTTTTGTTATCTTTCAACAGTTTGACCAACAGTTTTATCATTTCAACCTATTTTTGTTATCTTTCAACAGTTTGACCAGCAGTTTTATTATTTCAAACTATTTTTTGTTATTTTTCAAAAGTTTGACCAGCAGTTTTATCATTTCAAACTATTTTTTTGTTATTTTTCAAAAGAAAAGTTAAATATACACAAGGCTATTCTGAAAGTTTAAATGCTATGTGAATTAATAGGTTTTAATAAAATATTAATTTGCAATAAATATTTACACAGTTTAAACAATATTCTTAGACAAAATTATTACTTTAAATTCATAACCTTGTTTTATATACAGGGTATCCCACAAAAAAATATTAGTTAGGAGACGCTTGAAAGGGATGTTTGCGAAAAATGAAAGGGGGTATAGGCTTGACCCTAAACAATTTCGGATTCAAAAGTGTTTGGGGTAATTTTAATGTAGGTTACAAACGTAATTTTTATCCATTTTAATTAGAAAATTCACCCTAAACAGGCCCTCTATAGTTTTTTTGCCCTTGCACTCTCATTTTTGATACTATAACCATAAAATATTTTGACTTTTAAAAAATAGAAATTTTCTAGGATTTTTGTGAAATTTTTTTTATTTGTATGGAAGGGTTAAGGTATAGGGCGGTAACAAGTCCGTTCTGTGTAAAAAAAAAAATTTAAAATAGCCCATAACTTTTTTACGACTAAAGCTACAGAACTAAAAACTATATTTTTCAGCCCTTGAAAAATGGATGTAGAAATATGTGTCACATTTTGATATTTGTTTAAAATAAAATTTTTTTTGTTTTATCTTTTTTTGGTCTTTTTTAAGACCCTCCCTAGCACTCAAACAATAAAAGTCATCGGTCAAAACTTTTTTCATTGAGCTGACCTTGACAAAGAAATTGAGTCTTTGCAACAAACTTATATTTTTCAATCCCTATATCTTTGCAGCCTTGTGGTATAAACCTTTTATATTTCAAACTTAGATTATTTTATTTAACAGAATTCATAGTTTGAAATATTTAAGGCCTACGACATTGGTTTGCAAAGATATAGGGATTAGAAAATCAGAGATTGCAACAAAAACTCAATTTCTTTGGCTATGACCATATACCTATTCTCTAAGTCTATGAATAGATTCAGGCCCCCCAGCCTTTATAGGGTTACATTACATTTAAATAGAATCTCTTAGTATTTTCCTGCAGACCTACTACAAGAATTTACATGGAATCTTATAGTATTTTCCTGCAGACCAACTCCATGAATTTACATGAAATCTCTTAGTATTTTCCTGCAGACCAACTCCATGAATTTACATGAAATCTTATAGTATTTTCCTGCAGACCAACTCCATGAATTTACATGGAATCTTATAGTATTTTCCTGCAGACCAACTCCATGAATTTACATGGAATCTCTTAGTATTTTCCTGCAGACCAACTCCATGAATTTACATGAAATCTTAGAGTATTTTAACCATTTCCTCCTCAAGAACACTAGATACAGATAGAAGTAAAATTTGTCACGATCGAATAAGCCTGTATCCCCTTTCATTTTTCGCGAAAAAATCACTTTTAAAGGTTCGCTTTTCTGTAGAAACACAGTACACCACATTATGGGGAGATTAAGGTTGATTAACTTCTTGTCATTTGAAAGCTTTCAAAGATTAATGACCATCTCTAACTGTTTTACAACTCTCATGCTTAAAAAGTACCATTTTATTTACCAAGAAATTTGTTGAAAATTGTCCATGATATTTCTTATACTTCATTCATTAAACCTTACAATGTTGTGTCCAAAGTAGAGTAGTACCTATAAACCCAGATAGTATATATTTCATTCATTAAACCTTACAATGTTGTGTCCAAAGTAGAGTAGTACCTATAAACCCAGATAACAAAATTAAAATAAATTTTCAAAACGAAAATCATGACTTTTAGTGCTTTGGGGGATTTCTTGTAAAATGACTTTTTAAAACTAAAAATTACGTTTCTCTTTACATGTTTGACAAGGTGCCTCAATTTTGATGAAATATACAGTCAAGTCAATACTCAAGATATTACGGCGAAAATATAAACAAAAAACATGCAACTAACGATTTTCTATATATTTGCTCAGTTTGGGAATAAATTACACAAATTGCTCTTATTTTTGATTAATTATACTTAATTTTTACATATTTCAATTATTCAGATATTCAAGATACATTCCCCATCCCATCCCCTTTTTTCCCTCCCAGATAGTATATATTTCATTCATTAAACCTTACAATGTTGTGTCCAAAGTAGAGTAGTACCTATAAACCCAGATAGTATATATTTCATTCATTAAACCTTACAATGTTGTGTCCAAAGTAGAGTAGTACCTATAAACCCAGATAGTATATATTTCATTCATTAAACCTTACAATGTTGTGTCCAAAGTAGAGTAGTACCTATAAACCCAGATAGTATATATTTCATTCATTAAACCTTACAATGTTGTGTCNCCCCTTTTTTCCCTCTCCCCCCCCCCCTCCCCCCTTCCCCTTCTTGGAGACAGGAAAATGTTCTTCATTAATCAGTAATATGTATTGGCTTGATTAAATCCTGTTTTTGCAAAAGTTATAAGAATTCCTTTTGTTCGTAGTATAACAAAATAAAAGGAATGTTGGAAATGAAAAACTCAAAAACAGAATAATAACAAACTTTTCATAATTCGTACAGTAAGAGCCATGATATTGTGGAATAGGAGACGAATTTTAAAAACACTAGTTATGGTTTTAAATAGTCTATGTGAACACAAAATACAGCAACAGTTGACAAAACAGTGTATACACTCACAACCGAAACAGTGTATACAATAACAACCATTCAACAAGTTGATTTTCAACATTCTCCTAAAACTATTCAAAACAACATCAAATAATAACAAAGTGGGAATCTTCATTTGTTATTGATTCCTATTTCTTCAAAAGTAGAAATGGTATTTGTTAAATTCACCAAAAAAAGGAGTGTAAAATTAAGGAAATATACAAAAACTGGGAAAAACAGGAATGACTAGTTTTATATATTATCTACATTAGTCATGTTAAATATTTTTTACAATTTACTTCTAAAAAAATATTACTTTATTATATAATTATAAATTAGGCTTTTAGGGCACTTAAAGCGACCTCTTACCTATTGACAATTTCAACTTTTAACTGATATTCGCCATTTTTCTTATTGTTCTCAAATTTTCGCTATTTCTTCTGTTTAAATGGCTGCATTTTCAATAATGATAAATGCCGAATTTTTTTAGGTAAAATTCTTCGTTTAAAACCGCCAAAAAGCCAAAAAATATCGGGTCATATCAGTTACGCCATTTTGTCCTTTCCTACAAACTTACTTTGAGTAAATAACACTAAAAAATTGATTCATTGATGGATAAATTATTAATTAAATGTTAAGGGTTTGTTAATGTTTTAATTGATGGACTGATTGATTGATTTTTCAGACCAACAACGGGCCGAGTAGCTCTGCCCTGAATGAGAGTAACATGAACGCTGTACTGGCACTACAGGAACACCGGCCCGACAAACATACAGTTTATGAACTACCATTAGTGGATAAATACAAACATGATACAGTGACCCCTACACCAAACTCCCATGGGTCAAATTCGTTACCTGTCACCGTCACATCAGCAATAGTAACCATTAGTTCCACCCCCTCCACCCTTCAGACCCCCCTTCTACCCCCTCAACAACAGGGAGGACTACCCTCACATCAACAAGAGCAGGGGTACCAAGGACCTCTTTCCTTTTCTGGGGAACCCCCTGAAACTCCGACTCAAGTGAAAATATCAAATTTATAATTTGATGAAATCATAAAAATATTCTGTTTGAACAGGAAACATTTCCCAACCTTCCTTTCATAAAATTAAATAGATAAAATGGGCGTTTATTCCTCTTTTTCATCCTCTCTTAATAACAAAATGAACATTTGATAAAACTTTTAATTTTTTAAAACTTTTTTATTTTAAGTATAAATTTTAATTTACTCATTTAAGATTTAACATCTTTTACTGCATTTTTTTGGAAGATTTTTTAATTGGACAGAATAGTAAGCTGCTTATAAGGACTGTGATAGTTTTTTTTCAGCAATCCTCTACTTTGAATGGACTAAGCCTGATTCACAACGGTATCCTTTATGACTTTGTCTGTTTAAAAATATGAAAGATATATCGTCGGGTTACAAACTTAAAATATTTGGAATTTTTGCAAAATCCTACACAGTTTCTGCAGCAATAATCGGCAAGTTATTTTTAAAACTGATTATAACCGACTACATGGCTAAGCTTTTGATGGCGCTGGTGCGAATAAGGAGTATGGAATAGAAGGGAGATACAACGGACGCGGCCCGCCCTATCATATGATTATACAATATACATGCTTTGCAGACGGGTACTCCATTTGTATAAGAAATGTATTTGTCTGATGTACAATTACTGCGTATACAATAACCTATTCTGAATATTTCTTATACAAATAAAGTTCCCGTCTGCAAAGGATTTAAAATCATACGGTGGGGCGGGCTGTGTCAGTAGTATCTCCCTTCTATTTTATACTCCTTGGTGGCGAATCCTTTATGCCAATTTAAATGGAGGGTTAGAAACAGCAGAAACAAAAACAACTTTTCAGGTAATATCAGTCAGAAAAAAAACACCCCAAAAAAAACTGAGTTGCGATAATTCTTCTCTTTAATTGAAAAAGTGTATGACTTTTTTACTATGAACTCTATAAAAGAGCGGGATGTTTTTTACATATTTTTTTCCACAAAACTTTCGCCTTAGTCAATTTGAAGAAAACTGTTGTCTTGTTAAAAGTATATTTAAAGTTGTCAAGATTAAATGTTCCAGTTTTGTCCAAAGCTATTTCTTTTCAGACAAAAATATATCCGTCCCTTCAAGAGGTTCTTTTTATATCATATTGATATCCTAATTTTAAATATATAGTTACTTTTTTGTTCATAAGAGAGGATTAAAAATAAAAGATAAAATGTATTTAGGTAAACTCCATGGACTAGTTCATATTTTAAAGTAAATGTCTATATGTCTAAAAAGAAGGGATTGCTTTTGTTTTTCGGAAGCACTCCCTCCTTTGCTAGTACATGTATATGTTCATGTACTTCTATTTACATGGTTTTATGAGATATTGACAGATTGTTCAAAACTTCTCATGATAAATAAATGTATTCTCTAGCCATCACATGTTTTATTATTGTACACTCACATCCAACAAATTACATGTATTTATTTCAAGGTATCAAAATACGATACAATGTGTCCCAATACACATGGAGATTATAAAATGACTTGGGATTTGTCTTTGATTTCTGATAATTAATGACTGACCATATGAGAGTTTTACATTAAAAACTTGTACTAACTATAGGCTTTCCAAAAGGTGAACGTTCTTAAATGAATTTTGAAAATGAATTAGAGAGTAAAAATTTTAACAATTTAGTTGTTATTTTGTAATTGGGATTCTAGATTTTCTTAAAATGTCAGTCAATTTTAAAGGTGAAAATATGCGGAGATAACCAGACATCTTTAAAATAAGAAGACGCCATTAAAGCCAAACTGAAATGCATTTGAAGTTGTGACGAGCAAATAGCTTTACTAAATATTAAATAAATCTTTAATTGTAATTGTCTGTTTACACTGCACAATTAAAGTGTCCCATGTTCATTGGACTAATTTAAGTCATAGCTTGAGTTTAAAAGTTTACTTCATTTTTCCATTGTTTTCTTGTCATCACTGTAGCAGATTAGATCTTGGAAATCTCAAGACAAACTAGTTAAACTGTTATAACTCACATACAGGTCACTGTGATTTAAAAGTCTCAAGCTCTCAAGGAAAAAAGATGATAATTTTGACAATTAGTTCATATAAACCAAAGCTAACAACGAAACTTGCTAAAATGTCCATGAAAAGGGGCACAGAAAAGTATCTGTAAGCTAGAGCGGTAAATAAAGGCCATGGCGTTGCGACAATTCAATTGATGAGACTTTTCATAAGCAGGCATTGCTATGTAAGGTCAGGAAGAGAGAAAATTTTGCGATATTTAAGGACAGCGAAAAAGAGAATCCATCCATGTAGAATAAATAGATTCATTTAAGAAATAATCATACTTAGCAAAGTATACTGCAGTCTGCAAATTTCTCAAAATATAAAGAAATACAAGGAAAATATACCAGGGGTAAAAACACCTAATATCTTTTTTTCAATATGTTTTACGAATGTATATGAAATTTTGGTATAAAAAGTATAAAATAGGAAATGCAAAATACCTTCATTTAATAGGGCCTAAAATTGAGATTGATTGACTTCATTCAAGTTTAAGATTATTCCGCATTTTTACTTACAATTTCATGATCTTGGGTTTCAACGTTTCCGACAAAGCAGGTTTCCCTTTATATTTCGCGGATTTTGATAAAAAAAATCGCGCAATTTTACGAAACTTGTATTGAATATATTGTAGATGTATCCAACTGTCTTGTGTTATTACTTAGGAAATTATGTTTTTTTGTTGTGACAAACGAAAAAAGTAAAAATCCCTGCCAAAAAACATATTGTCACGTATAATAACACAAGACAGTTGCATAAATAGATATTAAAACCAGGAACCCCTGTTGTATATAGTGTATTATGTTGTCCATTTACACGGTCATATACACAACAAATCAAATTAGTGTACTTTGTAAATAAAATTCGCAGGGCAAAATTATATAGGCTACCCAAATACTTCAAAAATAGGAGGCTCACTTGAATTATAGCCAACGGTCTCTTTAAACTTAAAGAAACTGAAAGGCATTTAGAGAGATAAAACTTTTCTTTGAAACAGATCTTTTAACTTAATTATATTCTTCTCAAAAGTTTTATAGAAACAACTTTTTCCATCCAGGATTTTCCTCTTTTTTTGTCTGACATACAAATCTAATCTTTTGTGATATAATTCTTATATCAACAGCTTGGGAACCCAGTTTTGCGTGGAGTTTTCCATATCAAAGTCAGCCAATTGACTTAAATTTGTTAACTAAGCCAAGAAAATGTTGGTGGTTTTTTAAAATTGTCCCCAAAAAAATGAGACAAATCGGTCTGGAGGTTCATTAATTATGATAAGATATCCTAACAAACAGACTACACTACCCAAGTAGAGATTTCTACTTTAAATATATAGATGTATAGACGTGATTGATGTTTGGATACATTTGAATGCCAGTGCAATATTAAATATTTCCAGCAATTTTAGAAGCAATTTATGAAAATTTTACTTTTCTAAGGTTTCTAAGACAAATTTTACCTACAAAATAATGGATTGAAATACAATTAATGAATATTACTAAAAACACAAATATTTGATAATCAACTCTAAACTTATCTAAATTCTTAACTTCCATGTTTCCCCTTCACAGAAAGTATGTTAACTGCCCTCAAATAGTTTTCAAAATAATTACACAATAAAATTTCCAAAAGCTTTCAAAGAATGTCCTGCAAACTTTCATTGCGCAGAACAAACTAGAAAAGGCATAATATTATGATTTCCAAAAAACTGCCTTTATGCATAATTTCATTTCCTTCAAGCCTAGTTTCATTTCACTCATTTCCTCTTTTTGCATAATTTCATTCACCGCCGGCCTTTATGTATAATTTCATTTAATTTATGCATAATTTCATTTCATTTATTCGTTTCATGCATAATTTCATTGCATTTATTGTCTTTATGCATAATTTCATTTCATTTATTGCTTTTATGCATAATTTCATTTCATTTATTGCTTTTATGCATAATTTCATTTCAATTATTGCTTTTATGCATAATTTCATTTCATTTATTGCTTTTAAGCATACTTTCCTTTTCATTCAGCGAAGATGATTTGTTAAAATATTTTAAAAATATTTTTGAATTTACATTGAACCCCCCTCCCTCCCTTCCACCCTGCCTACATGTAATACTTATATACAATCACCTGGACCAACAATTCTTTATGCTTTCTCAAATTTTAAGAAAGTATTTTAACGTGTAAATATAAGAAAACAATCTTTTTGTAATTTTGTTCTATATTACAGCATATTTAAGCAATATTATGTGTTTATTAGAATATGAAAATCTGCGGTTTAAAATCGTAAAAATATTCACTTTCAAGGCAGGAAAGGGAAATTATAAAAACAAAGAAAACTTTTTAAAAGCTTTTACCGATATTTATTGTTAGAACACAAGTTTACGAAAATGACCTATTCTAGAGTCGAGAGAACAGTCCACAATTTGTGAATGTGTTCCTTTATACAGTTCCTTGATAATGCCCGATTTACAACGGTACCCTAAAAAGCTTTGTTCAAAAGAGTATGAATTAGATTTGCAATTTTATGTATTTTCAAACAGTTTTATTTTCATTTTGGAATTTCTTGCAAAAGTGACTTGATATTTCTTGTTTATTAGAATCAATGAAGAAAGTCAAAGAACTTGACACTTTTCTTCCATATTTTCTTATCAGAATATGTTTTTCAGGTATCGTTGTGAATCGAGGATTTCATTTTTTAAATAAAGGTTCACTTAAAATTTGCCTAACAGTCCCTTAAACGAAGTAAACACAAACAGACACAACTTCTCACGGACAAACTTCCTTAAATCACTTGACTCCTAGTGTAAGATAAACACAGTGGGATGCATTAGCAACAAAAACTTCCAGTTATTGATACATCGTTTACTAAAGTACAAATAAAATAAATAATTTACGGCTTTAATTTTAGGACCATGAAATAGAAACAGCTACAGGGGCCTACACGGGAATTTTTCCGGGGGGGCATATAAACATTATAAGGGGATTATTCATTTGGCGTACTGTCCCTTTTTGCCTTATTAGTCTGTATTTGTATTGTACAGCTTGCTTCAGCTGCTTAAATCAGCCCGGTAATTGAAATATTTTTTTTTTCTTTCCAGAGGGGGCTCAGCACCCGTTGGGGTCTGAAAACCCCTTGGAAACCATACAGTTTTATAATGCAGAGAGAGTATGAACCCCAACAGGCCCCCCCCCCTCACCCCTGTGTGCGCCTCTGAAAAGTAATGTGAAAAATGAAATATAAAGTAATTTAGAAAACTGTTAAACTGTCACAAGATGAAAAGAGTTTTAATGTCTTTTTATTATAGAACGTTTAGATGCACACTGGACATTTTTTTTTCTTTTTATTAGAACCATTTCTACATTTTTGTAAGCATACCCTGAACGTATTAAACATATTACTTATATATATAAATAGAATTACATTTGTTGCTAAAACTTTTCTAACTTTCTCTTCTGAGTCAAGAAGTTTTAAGGAAATATATCTAAAAATCAGACAGAGATCTCTGAAAATCAGACAGAGATCTCTGAAAATCAGACAGAGATCTCTAAAAAT